GAGGGCCCTTTTTGCATGCTAAAACTCTGTTTTGTATTGAAAAATTCATGCCGTGTTTGCTTGGGGGAGGTGTTGAGCAATGCTCTCATTTTTGGCCTTGAATGCCCATGTTTTGGACTCGTTCCTTGGCATGTTTTGACCATGATCTATGTATGCTTTAGTCTTGTTTTGGGGTCCCTTGGGACAGTTTTAGGTCATTTTGGTCCTTTAAGGTTTGGTTGACATAGCTTTGGTTTGACCCCCTTTATTGGCTTCAAGTGTTGGTCACTGTTGCATGCCTTGCTTGCATGTTTTGTTACATTTGGCATCATTCTCTATTCATTTTCAGAGCTTAGCATGTTGGTTTAATGCCCATATATATCGTCTTTAAGTATGCTTAGAGTTGTCCCCTTTTATGCTTAGGTGATGGACCTTGATGTGTGCATGCTTGCATGCATCATTTGTGCTCTTGTGCATCCTCTTAGGCCACTGTTTTGGGGGTGGGCTGAGGTCCTCTCATTTTAGTATAAGTCCGTCTTTGCATATTTTGCATGCTTGCATGTTATATTGCATTGGTTGCATGCTTACATTGTATCATTTTCGCATGTTTGCATGTTGTTTAGTTAATGGCATTACATCGTCTTGTTGTATGCTTGATATGTCCATATTGCATTAGTCTAGCATGCAGGATTAGATAGTGTCATGTTGCATTAGCTTAGCATGTTCATGTTATCTTACATGAGTTGCATCACTTTGCATTGTATATCGCATCCGTGCATTACAGTTGGCTTGGTTTGGGGTGTCAAGCCACGTATGAGGATTGAGAAGTGTCCATACTCCAAGTGATGCAACACGTCTCAACCCTCGGTCGTCAATCCCCTTGACCTCAACATGATAGGGTGTTGGCATTCTTTTTTTTTTTTGTTTGCATGCATTTACATCAAAGTTGCTAACTTGGCCTCTTAGGCCATCATGCATCAAAAATGCCCAATTTATGGCCCGAGGGTCGAGGGCCATGCTTCCTTGAGTCCCTTGCATGATAGGGAGTGTGGTTGGTGCATACATTTGCTTGAAATACATTGTCATGCCTTGTCTGCCCTCTGCTGCTGTCAAAAACAGGTTCTGCAGGAAGCTTTGGCCGGTCGGCCACCTATACTGCCGACCGACCATTCATTGTTGGCCGATGGATTTAAAAATGACCGATAACCATCCGGACACGGCCAGTGGTGATCCCACTTGGTCGGTGATGCTCCCCAGTGTCCAGAGAGTGCACCTTAGGAGTTGCACAATTTTCAGAGGAGCAGAGCAGTGTAAACAGAGGTAACAGTGGCATGGCACGGGTTTCCAAGCAAGGCGAGTCAAGCATGCATCATTCACACATCCCAAGGCGGGGCTGTGGCCACTTTAATCCTGCGTTTAATTTGTTAATTAATTAGAAATTCTGTAATAATTAATTTAGTATTCGGACTGTAATATTTATTTGAACCCACCGAGCGAGGGCAATTGTGTAATAAGTGTGCGTGAGTGTGTGTATGTCTTCCAACCCCACGTCTTTCTTCCCTTTTATTTACCCTCTTATGATGGTAGACTAGGGTATATTTAAATTAGCATACCTTATGCTATGCATGCGTGCATTCATACATTTGTCTTGCATGCACCGGGCTCGGCGCATCATTCTAACTGTATTTGTATTTCAATTCCAAATTGAATACGTGTTAGTTGTAGCATTTCACATGTCATTGTAGATTAGCCGAGCCTATCTTAGTTACATTTTGCATGTGTTGCATTAGCCATCTTAACATGAACTAGGATCATGCATATGACTACTAACTAGTTTTTGTTTTGGCTCGGAGTACTCGGTAAGCATTTATGCTTTAGCATACCGCATGCGTGTGAGTGTTGCCATAACAACATGATTACCATGAGGCTAGCTGCTTATGTGATATAACTGCTCAAATGCCTGTGGATGGAGATTGAATTACCTAAATTGGAGTAATGCATTAAAACTGTGAATTTTTTTTAAGCCCACTAGATAGTGGTAAAACCATCTTTTCTAAAAAGCCCACTCGAGGGTGGCAAAACCTGCATTTTAGCTTACTTGCGAGTAGCAAACCATCTTCAAAATGAACATGCAATATTTTGTTCCAATTTAGGCGATTTGGTCTATACTTATTTGCTGCGCGCATAACATAGTAATTCTAGGGTAACAAATGAAATAAGAACACATAACGTTTTCAAAAACGGATATCACGGTTAGTAGAGGCCGATCTTCGAATCGAGCGAGAGGGGGTGCTCATAGCTGACCTTCCCCAATCGTACCGTAGCTCCGAAGCCGAGGCAACTTTAGTGATGACGGACACGTGGCCTTTGGCACCGTGTCAGGGTTTCCTAAATTCCCCCTAAAAAAATATTTAGGTGGCGACTCTGTATCTGGCAAAGCAGTCCATGTTTGGCACTTCTTTTCTAAAAATCTGTTTTCCAAAACGATTTGCCGGATTTGGACTCTTTGGTTCAGATTAAGAACCGTGACACAAATTGAGTCCGAACTGTAGCACGATGGCCTCACGCGGGCGCGTCTACAACACTCTGATAACATACATATATCAAGAATAAATTTGATGATTAATAACCATCTTATAAAAAGAATATTATTAAATTATTCACTCTAAGGAATTTACCAAGGATTTCAATTTGAAACTATTTCAGCTGAACATGAACCTAATCAAATTTCTATAATCATTCAAAAAGTGTAATTTTCTTAAGATCAATATTTTAAATTACTTATCACATAACAAAATACAAATTTATCATTATAATAATAATAACCTATTTTTAATAACATAAGGTGTCAAATCATCACACTAGTGAGCCACTCAACACAACCTCACAGCATACCGCCAACACTATTGCAATTTTTATTTATTTATTTATTTTTAAATAGTTTAACATGCATAGGGGGATATATATATACAATTATATATATAATAAATCATCTTAATTACAAAATTAATGAAATACTATACTTTTATAATAAAACATGATTATTCTTACAAAAATATTTAATCTATATACATGTAATCTCGCTCAATGTTTTCCCCATCCTATTTGTACATGTTCCCTATGCTCGGATGATTTTATAAAATAATTTAAATACCTAGGCTCTGATACCACTTGTCACAACTAGCTCCCCGCACCCCAAGGGTTAAGTATCGTGATGGCCAATAATTGTAGTTATCCAAGTCCAATTCGAGAACTAAACAAATTAATAAACGTGAGCGGAAATAATATTCAAGTGTGGGTACCAAAATAATTATCAGAACTTCTACTTTTATAACAGAAAGCCATTAACCAAATAGTCTGATATTTATGTATAAGGAGTTAACTATTATACAAATAGATTTTATAAATACTATAAAAGTATTTTGTGTGTCTATTCCATAGCCCTGCTTCTAAGACTCTCCAAGAGCTATTTATGAATTGTATTATCTCCTGAAAATTTGTAAACAACTTATAAACACATTGTAGAGTAAGAAATATTATACTGAGAGCATAAGGGTATAAAAATCACCATTGATAATTATTTAGGATAAACAGAGAATAGTTTGGTTCGAATAAATAAATTATTTTAAATAATAGACATATAATACAGAAATCATATAAGCAAAATAATCATAACCACAGTACATAATAGAATAGAACGAAAAAGAGAGTTAGATGTATGGACTCACGAGGTGGCTCGTACGGACTCTGGAGGTAACTCCCACAATAGTATAACATTTAGCTCTGCACAACACTTTGCTCCACATTGGAGGGTCACCAAAATAACAACCAAAGCTAGTTACTAAAGTGACAAATCAGAGGGCCAATGGTGATTTAAATCCCCCAAGACATGGGACCTCCATTGTGGTATTTACAAAATAATTGTTCAAAAATACATTTAATAAATAGTTTTATCCACGGGTTTCCTTTTTTAAGAAAATAGGATTCATTTAACAAATAATATACTTTAAAAACTAATATAATTTGCAAAACATAATTTAAATGAAACCATTTATGACAGCTCAAATTATAATAAAACTCACCTTAATATCGATTCATAATTTTACTTTTCCTTTCTCCAGTGCTGTCTTTTCTTGTCTTGCTCATTTGTTTATATCCTCTCTAGGATAGAAAATGTCCTATTTATAGGTTAATTTGAAGCAGGTGAGTCAATAGGTGACTCATTTCATCTGGGCACATGACTTGTCTAAATTTGGTGTTGTTCCCTTACATCACATCACGTAACAGCTTGTGCCATCATTCAATTCTCTAATTTCCTATTTACACTTTGACCCCAATTAATTGTAGATATAAAATCATATTTTTCTCATTTATAATTAACACTAATATGAAATTTAAAAAAATAATTTAATTTTTGGGTTGTTACACCATACTTGATGAGAGTCACCAAACTCGACCGTGCATTTGGGGTGCCCTCTTGTGTACCGATGTTTCGATTGGAATGCAAAGGTTATTTCTGGATTCCAACTACATTCTCGAGTAGCGGTTGAAATTCTATTCAGAGTTATTCTATCTTTTATATCTCTGTGTCACCTTAGCTTCTTTCATGGGAGTGTCAAATTGTGTCACTACAACAAAACTGGATTTTTATGGCTTCCATCAACGACATACAATAAATGCAAGCCGTGGTTTATCACTTTTACGACTTGGTTTTTCTGTTTGTTGTAAATAATTTTCCAACCACGACATGTCTATTGCGTAGGTCATGAATGTAAATAACGATGAGTTTTTTACGGCTTGTAATGTTAGCCGTAAATAATAAAACTTTCTATGACGTGCATATAGCATGCCGTTAATATATCAATTATACACAACACGCGTACACCAACTATTAAAAATATTTAACATTTCATGATGCACAAAAAGCCAACCATTTAAAATATTCTACTTTCCACGACATGCAATTCCTGTAGTGAACAGTATGATTGAAAAAAAAGAAAAGAAAAAAAAGTAGTGTCAAAATGAAAATTTCGAGCGCCAAACACCAAAAAAAATAAAAAATCAAAATCAAAAGATTTAACTCTTTGGCCCTAACATCAATTTTATATATACATGCACACTATCTATTAAAACAATTTGGGGAATTTGGCTTCACATCTCCTCTTTCGAAAATTGGGAAATTTGGACTCCTTTCTCCTTTCAAAAAATCTGGGGAATTTGGCTTCTATTCTCCTTTCTCCTTCCATCACCACCGCCGGCGAGCTTGGCTTCTCGTCATCACTAGCTTCTCCATAATAATTGGTATGTATTTTCTCCTATTTCTCTCTCTCTCTCTCAGTAAAAACCCTAACATTTATTTATTTTGATTTTTTTGGTGTTTATGTGTTAGAGAGATTGGTTGAGAATAAAAGAGTCAGAGAGGAGACATGGGTGTCAATTGGGGTGGGGTTGGGTTGGGTTGGGATTGGAGTTGGGGTTGGGAGATCTGAAAATTAAGGACCTGCTCAACATTTATATATATATATATATATAAATATGTATTGTATATGTATATTAGAGAGAGCACAAGTTATGGATCTTATTCTCTTTCTCTCTCTCTCTCTCTCTCTATATATATATATATATATGTAAACACTGTTATATATATGTGTGTGTGTGTGTATATGTATGTGTGTGTGTATGTGTGTATGTGTATGTATGTGTGTGTGTAGATGAGGAAGAGGAAGAGAATAAAGGTTGGGTTTCGGTGAGGAAGAGTAAAAAGCTTAGGTGTATGTAGATTTCTTTGTATAGCTCAGAATATAATAAAACTCACCTTAATATCGATTCCTAATTTTACTTTTCCTTTCTCCGATGTTGTTTTTTCTTGTCTTGCTCATTTGGTTATATCCTCATTAGGACAGAAAATGTCCTATTTATAGGTTAATTTGAAGTAGGTGAGTCAATAGGTGACTCATTTCACCTGGGCACATGACTTGTCTAAATTTGGTGCCGTTCCCTTACATCGCAACACGCAGTAGCTTGTGCCACCATTCAATTATCTTATTTCCTGTTTACACTTTGACCCTAATTAATTGTAGATATAAAATTATATTTTTCTCATCTATAATTAAGTAACATTAATATGAAATTTTAAAAAAAAAATTAATTTTCGGGTTGTTACACTATACTTGACGAGAATCACTTGACTTGATCGTGCATTTGGGGTGCCCTCTTGTGTACTGGTGTTGGGATTGGAATGTAAAGGTTATTTCTTGATTCCAACTACATTCTTGAGTAGTGGTTGAAATTCTATTCGGAGTTATTCTATCTCTTATGTCTCTATGTCGCCTTAACTTCTTTCATGGGAGTGTCAAATTGTGTGTTGGTTGTTGAGTGTTGTTTCATGCTAATTATACAAAGTTCTTTGAGTTGGGAGAGAAGTTTTCTTTGAAATTCGTGTTGGAAATAGAGAACATTTATAATGAGTCAGTGGGATGTTATGTGAGATCTCTGACTTTTGTAAATTCTATTAAGGCTCTTACTTTTGGGTTATTATAATGAAAACCCTCAGTTCCTCGTTTATTTGCAATTTTAATCATAGAATCGACAATGCATCACGAGCGAAACTGTGTAAACTCTAATTGACCTTGGTAGCTTAGTGATCATTCCTAACATCCTAAAATTAATTACCTGACTCTAATTATAGATTGATCGCTCAAAACGCTGGTTTCACTATTTTCGTTCGATTACTCGCCTTTTAATTCAAAGTGAAGAAACTCAAACCGTATTATTTTTCCTAACACTATTTTAATTAATTCTATGCTTGAAATAGATATTTTAATTGAGCTCATGCCCTTACACTTTATTAAAGTTGTACTTTAGTCCCAAATAATTCTTTATATATAAAAAGGGTACAATCCATTATAATATTCTTTTTCCTCAAAATGTCTACATTATATAATTATATATATATATATATGAGTTTTACACTAAAACATATTGAAAAATCACACAAAAACCCCCTCACATGGCCAGCCACCCTTGAATATATATTGCAATGTCCATTTGCAAACATATTGCTTGAACTATGGAAGAAAAGTTTGACCAAGTACCAAGAATCATGGAAATTTTTTTCTCCTTGAATTCAATCTAGTTCTATATTGACTAACCTATAATTAAATCATGTCTTAACACATAATTAGACATCCTAATCAACCTCCATTCCATTACCTTTCAATTAAATCCAAAATTATTCCATTCCATTAGAGCTAAGGCCACTTTAGACCTTTCACCACAATTTTCCTATAAATAGACCACCTCCTTCAACACTTTTACACACTCAAACACAAACACACACACATTTTCAGCTAGAGAGAGAGAGATATAAAGGTGACCAAGTGTGAGCTTTGGGAAGAGAAGAAACGAAAAAGGAAAGAAAGCTTGCACAACACCAATCCTAGGCAAGAAAATAAGTCACAACGCAACCTATTCCTTTCTTTTCTCTTCTAAATACATGATATTAGTTAGTTAGAATATTGTTTTTACATGTTTATGTGTATGGTTCTTGTGTTTAAATAAGAGAAGTTGTACTTCGTTGGTTACCTTGCTTGTATTTTTCCTTTGTTGAAACAAAGTCATTAATTTCTATCCATTTCATATGTTATTTTTAAAGAAACACCTTCAAACTAAAAATTTGAGTTATTAGTATATTATTTGGCATGTTTTAATCATAAGAGAAGTGTAAAATTTCCCATGGTTGCCTCAGTTTTTTTATAATTCTTTTTTTTCAAGTTTTAGGCACAAATAACCAGTATTTTTAGTCAACTTTCAAAAATTCTAGAAAACTTCAGAAAAAAATCCCCTTGAGCTCATTTTTGTATCAAAACCTTCCTTAAAGTGTTAAATTTCAAGAAAAAATGGTTTTATTAAAAATGAATGAATGGTTTGAGAGAAAAACTGATTTTCGTAACAACTGACGAATTTGGACAGCGCTGAAGTATTTCATCAATAACTAAAAATATCGAAAAACTATCACACTTCCATAAATTGATTTTTAAACTAGACAAAATTATCTACATGTCCTAAAAATGCCACTTTGATAGCTATCTTTAAAGTAAATCGAATCTGAAAATTTGTTCTTGTTAATAGTTTTATGTTCTTAGTTGATTGAATATTCCTTATTATTTTTTTCAAGCTTTAGTATGACATCTACATATTTTTGTCATTGTATTCCCTTAAATTGATGCCTTGAAATGTTTATACTTGTGTTGAAATTGTGATTTCAATTACTTGTTCTAACCTTGGCTTAAAACACTTAACACAACGGGAAACTTAATAATGGTTGTATTGGGTTTTCAATCAATTGGATAATTTTATGAGATAATGATGTGTTAATGTCAAGTATAGATTGATGGGATGCATTCCCTAATTTAAGGTTAAGTCTTGCACAAGTGGTTGTTTCAGAACCCTTGAATGGATTGATTGTATTTGGACCCCAGGTGGTTAATGGTAGATAAGGTTGGAGGAGGTTATGGGTGTTGACCCCTATTTTACTGTCTCTTTTGAGGTCCTCAATTGGTGCTACGCGGTATGCAACCATTTTAGACATTTAGAGTAAGGTCTACAAAGCAGCAAAAGATGGGATATACTAAATAATCCGAGTCCAATTTTTGTAGTTGGGATGATGAAATCTCTTTGAGGAATTTCTAGTTTACTAATACCTAACTTTATGATCTCTTTGTTTATTGACTTGAAGATCATGCTTCATTACTTGTTACAAATGTGATTGTGTATTGGATTGGAAAAAGGGATGGGGTGTGTGGGAGTTCTCTTTTACTGGGTATTCAAAACTTATTGCATTTCATGCCAGGTATTGAAGACTATTACCCGATCAAAGGCAAAGTTGAAACGTTTGAAGATATATAGCTACCTTAGAAGAATTAGAAACTAATTTTGTTAAATCCCATTTTGTAATCATGCTTTGGAATTGTAATGTTTAAACTCTTAATGTAATTAAAACATGATCTTGTAATTATTATTTTACTTGTATAAATATATCTATATATCTTTTGTGTAAACCTATCTTTTATTTTTCCCATCAACTATGTAGACCTTATGTTAATACCTTGTTAAGATTCGTCAAAAACGTAACTTTATTATCTAAGGAGATTGACTTAGAAGGGAGGCTATTTTGACTCCTCTGATTTTTCTTAGAATTTTACTTGGTTATTGACCAAACGACTCATTAGTGAGGTTTTTTAACCTTCAACCCTTAGAGTAGAATTTGGGGCGTCACATGTTAGCCCCAACATTTGATGTGTTTCACACTTCTATGCTTCTCAAATACAAACTTCACCTTTTACATGTGATTGATTAGACTGACTTAGAGGTAGTTGAAAATATCTTGTATGAAGAGAGACCGGTTTAAGTCCTAGACACCCAAGAACATGGGTTGAGAGGCAGGACCATACCATTAGTGAAAGTATTGTGGAGACACCACAGAGTTGAGGAAGTTACATGAGAACGGAAGGCGGAAGTCCACTCTAAGTATTTGGATTATTTAAGAGTACTTAGCCTAATTCATTGCCTAACTTTCCATGGCATTGTTTTGAGTTTATAAGCATTGTACTTGCTAACCACTTGCTATTATATTTGTTATCATTTTCAAGCATGAGAATTGATATTGGATTATCACAATTGTTATTGAATTTCATGCTTATGATAATCATGTTAGTTGTTGTTGATAGATATGGTGACTATGGTCCTATTGGGATCATGAGGATTATCATGGAAATATAGTTGATATTGTGATCTCCAAGCGATGATTTAGTTGTTGTTGTCGTTAATTCATTATTAACATTTACCATTTGGAATTTCTCAGCATTGTTGTGTCATTGTTGTTGTCTTAGAATCATTGGTGAGAGGAGTATTTAATTTCGGGGATGGAATTCCCTAAGGTGGGGAGGTTGTGATGTATCAGGTATTTAACCCCATTTGTCCTCTTGTTTGTTTCTGCCTAAGCATCTTTTTTTCGAACCTTAATCTTATTTTGAGACTTTATGGATCGTATGGTGTCACCACACTTTGTAACTTACTTGTTTTAATCTTCTAAATTAATCCCAATTTAAAACTTTCAAATTTTGGACGTGAGGGCAAAATCGGAGTGTGAGGAATACCTTAGAACCATAGCATTAAACATTCTCGCACATGCAGGGGTAGAACTGCACGTGTGGAGTTAAATGCCACACTTCTAGCGAGGGGGGTAGTTGTTGGGTTGCATTATGAAATAAAAGCACATACGAAGGAGAATTCTCGCATGTGCAAGAAGAAGCACCACATGTGCAGCCAAGGGGGCCGCTCGTGCTAAAGAGGGTGCCGCACGTATGGAAATGTCTGACTTAAATCCAAAATTTGAACCACTTTTATAAAATTTGATTCGCTCTCTCCCTCTGTCTTCACTTTTTCTTATCTCTCTCTAAACTCATATTTTCTCTTCCTTCTCTCTAACCCACACCCAAAGCTCTCACATTTTTTTTTATCTGTACAAATCCACTAACATTTTGACCTATGTTCTTGAGGCAATTTTGAAGAGCTTTGTAAGAGGAGATTGACTTCCAATGCCATCAATTTTAAGACTTTTCTCTCATCTTCCTCCTAGAGCTAGCGGTAGGGATTTCTTTGAGTTATACATATATTTTGTCATCTCTGTATGTTATTTTGGTGAGATAGTTGTAAGAGAAGTTAGGGTTTTAACATTTGAGATTCTATAAATGAGGGGTTTTCTCAAATATTTCTTAAAATCCTTAAAATTATAGACTATGATGATAGTTGGAAGTCTTTTATGAGGAAAACTATTTTCAAAAGTGAGAAAACCTAATTTTTGTAAAATCCCTAAATTTTGGAAGTGTGAGGGAAAATGTTATGTTAATGAAAAACCATGATTTGTATAGTACTACTATTGAGACATGATAAGAGTTTTAAGAAATTTGTCAATTACTTAAAAATCCAAGAGAAATGAAGTTTGTTGTTGAGGAATTATGATATAGCATGGCATTATAGGAGCATTGAGAAATAGAAAATAGAAGTGATGATTACGAAATTGAGATTTGCTTGCTTATATGAGGAATGAAAGTGGATATGATTGTATATCATTATTGGCTTTGGGAATATATGTATATATATAATATTGAGTAGAGATGTTTTGCTAAGCAACAATTGAGAGTTGTATTGTTGAGATTGAAATTGTCAAAAGTTTAGAGAATAAGAATGCAATTCCATTTCATTGTCATCTCATCTCATATTACATGTTTTCAAATTTTCATTTGTTGAAATGTGGTTTTGAAAGGAAAAGAATTATTTATTGAAAGCAAATGTTGTTTTTGAATTGCTTTGGGGTAATTACTTTGGTAAGTCTGGATAGGTTGTGTAGTTGATATAAATTAAGTTAGCTTGAGATCTATGGTGAAAGTTCAGAAACTTGTGGGGTAGGTACCAGGTTCCTTCTGGTTAAGAGCCGGTAAAGTGGCTATTGGGTAGTGCCTTGAGAGCCTACTTGCAAACACCAGCTTAAGAATTACCTGAGTCATATTTACTGCCCCATGTTTATCCATTGAATCATTGAACTTATTATCTTTTAAACAAGTGCATTATATGAGATTTCAAATAAGAAAAATCTACATTTTGCATGGTATGGCATATGCATATATCCCATGAGATTGATAAAACCGTATGTAATTTGGTAGAAAATCCTTTATTGGGCTTTATGCTCATCTCCTAATGGAAACTGCTTTTTGGTAAAGGGCGTTTTGATTCTGCTGAAATGATGATGCGAAAGAATTGTTTTTGTAGCATGAGGCCCTTCTTTTCTTTTCTTTTCTTTTTTTCTTTGCTTTTGACAAGCCAAAGGTTAATGTGTATGGGTTTGAAAATCATTATGTGTAACTAGGTTTAAGCCTTAAAATTTGTAGCTTGTGGGGCATTCTTTTGTGTTTAATTCTCCACACTATGTGTTATAGAATTCATATTTTAGGAAATGCAGATGTATAATTGTAGGTGGGACATTTGAAATCTCTTGATTATGTAATCAATACAAGGGATGAGATTATAGATGGATATATATTGTTGTCGAGAGACATTTAGATAATTGATCCCTTGTAATGATCGTAATTAATGAGATTTGGATTACATTAATAGAATAATTAGAATTACTAAATGTTATTATATTTTTAGGGAATTACAATAAAATTAAACTATTCAAACTCGCCTCGAGTTTATGGATTAAGACTTTGCCTAATAACCTTGAGGTTATGAGTTCAAATCTTGAGACCATCATTTTATGAATTATGCCAAAAATTAGATGTGTACTCAATATTTCCCTTCCCAAACACACATTAATGTGTACTAATTAGGCGTTGTTTATTTTTTATTTTTATTCAAGCTCAACTCATAGTTGAATTGATAAAAATTTATTTAAAATAGACTCCTTATGTAAAATAATTATATTGAAGCATAATTTCAAATTCGTTAAGTTTTTAAACTAAACTTAAATAACATATTACTTATAAATTCTACTCGGAAAGGATACACATCATCACATACGACATGAAATAGCTGTTACACTAAAGAGTTTCTCACACTGATCGACTTTTTTTCTTTCTTTCTTTCGTTTTTTTTTTTTTCCATATCAAACTCACTGACTCTCTTGGAACTAAAATCCATGTTCTACCCTTCACTCCTCCAAGTATGTTGACATGCACACAAGTGATAATCAAATATTAACAATTTTAGCTCCCAAAAACCATCACGATAGTTATAATTTGTTTTATAAAAAAAATAAAAAATAAAAAAACCCAACTAAATGAAATTAAAACCTTCAAAGAAAAAAGAAAAAGCAACTTTAACATGCAAGTCCTAGATGACCCCCACTATTGCATAACCACTTCATATTCTATTCCTTAGCCTTGTCAACTGCTGGAACTTCTGTTTTCTCCTCAACTACTGCTTCACTTGCTTAGTCTTCTTCAGCAGCTGGGACCGGTACCGGTGCTGATTCCTCAGCAGCCGGTGCATCGGTAACCTAGGTAGTAGTTTCTTCTTTGGTCTCTTCTTCAGTTTTTTTTTTTAATCAGTAAAATGAAACATTATTAATGAAGAAAGCAAAATATGCTGAAACTTACATCAATAAAGATGGAAACTGCAAAAAAACATCCAGGAAACACAACTAGGTTGGCACCACTAAGGAAGCACAATATGCTAACCTTCATAATCCCAACTAGGTTGGCACCACTAAGGAAGCACAATCATATGCGAGCACTAACCCAAAGATTGGTGAGAAGCCAATCAAGAGGAACCAAAAAAACAGAAAAACAACAAAAACAACCTACAGCAGTACCATAATATAGCAAACACCTACAGCATACACACTAAGGCAGCAAAATGGAGGATAGAGGGTAGAAACCGATTCTGCGTAAGCATGGTGGTAAGGGAGGTAGAAACTCAGATCTGGGTAACGAGATCCATACGATCTTTGTGGATAATCTACCAGAATCTATGGATCCAAAAGGGTTGTATCACATATTCACCAACTATGGGATAGTGAAGGATGTGTTCATCCCCAACAAAAAAACAAAGTTGACTAGATCAAGATTTGGGTTTGTCGGCTACGCTTGTCCAGTGGCAGCAAATATGGCGGTCCAAAAAGCTCATGGCATCTGGTGTGATAACAGAGCTCTGAAAGTGAAGATAGCAGATTTTGTTCAAAGAAAGGAGGATAACCAGAAATCAGTAACCACATCAGTTGGAAGAAGGGCTATTGCCATAACCAGCAGAGCTCCGAATATGTTACAAAAGGGAAAGTCTTATGCTCAAATATTGAGTGGTCTAGGGCTGGCTTCAAATTCAAACATCAGTATACAAGCTTACGAGGAGGGTAATAGATGGCTGTATGACAGTGTGATTGTTCGATTGAAATCTCAAATTCTTGCGGTGGAGTTCAAAGAGGAATTGAAGAACAGAGGAATGGGTAATGTTTACATTAGATATGGAGGGGGAAGAGATATTGTGCTAACGTTTGAATCAG